ATTGCCCAGAAGGCAGTGCTATGGGTCTGGAGTGACATGTAGGCCAGACCAGGTAAGGATATGCAGTTTCCTTCCCTGAAGGACATTAGTGAACCAGATGGGTTTTTTCTGACAATCGGCAATGGATTCATGGTCATCATTAGACTCTTAATTCCAGATATTTATCAAATTCAAATTCCACCATCTGCCGTAGTGGGATTCGAACACAAGCTCCCAGAACATCAACTGGGTGTCTGGATTAACAGTCCAGCAATAATACCACTAGGCCATTGCCTCCCCCGTGGCACAGACATGATGGACTGAGGGGCCTGTTTTGTGCTAAAGAAGTTCATGATTCTTTGGTTTCTAAGTTCAAGTGACTAACGCTTAACATTCAGCAGATGGCTGTGTTTTAAGGTCAATGCCACCACTAAGTGGAGCACCACATTAATTAGAGTATTGCAGGGCTATGTCATGACTAAAAATGCTGCAAACATTTGAGATTTTTAAACAACTCCAGTAATTAGAATTCATAGGAACATGTAAACAAGGAGCTGGAGTATGCTACTTGGCTCCTTGTGCATGCTGTGCCATTTAATGAGGTCGTGATTGATGTTTTTGCAATCATAAATCCATTTAACCCTGCCCTGTTGACCATTCACCCTCTTAGTTATCAAGAAACTATCCACCTCTGCATTAATAATTGTCAAGAACTCAGCTTCCACGTCCTGTTCAGAACGAATGTTCCAAAGACTCTGAATTCTCTGGGAGGAGAAGCTTCCATCTTATCAGTTGTAAATGGGTGACCCCTTATTTTTAAACTGTGAACCCTAATTTAAATTCATTCATAACAAGAAGCACTCTCTTTGCATCTCCTTTGTCAAGACCCCCTAGGATCTTGTGCTTAATCAAATTGTCTCTTATTATTCTAAATTTCAGCAGATACAAGTCTAGCCAGTCTAAACTTTCCGAATAAGAAACCCACTTGTTCTAGGTATTAGTCTAATAAATGTTCTCTGAACTGCTTCCAATGTATTTGCACCCTTCTGTAAATAAGGCAATTGATATTACACACAGTACCCTAGGTGTGGTTTCATTAGTGCCCTGTATAACTAAAATATAAATTCCTATTTGGTATTTAATTTTGCCTCACAACAGATTAGAATAGTGTATTAGCTTTCCTAGTTACTTGTTGCACACTAGCCATGTACAATTCATGCACCAGGTCATCCAGATCCTTTGCATCTTAGAACTCTGCAGGAATGTCTCGCCATTTAGGTAATGGGGGTGCTGTTTTGTTTCCCCTGCCAAGATGAATAAGTTCACATTTCTTCACATTATTTCCATTAGCCCAGACCTTCGAGTACTCACTTATCTGATCTGTATCTCTTCGTAGCTGCCTTCTGTCCTCTTCACAACTCACTTTAATACCAACCTTTGCATCATCAACAAATTTGACAAACATACTTCCACCTGTTCATCCAAGTTGTAGAAATACTGAAAATAGAATTTGGCCCTTCAAGTCTGCTCCTCCATTCAATTTGGTCTTGGCTGATTATCCAACTGAATGTTGGAATCCAACTGAATGGCCTATTTCCCCTCCCATCCCCATTGGTATCCTTTTGATTGCTTTTAGCCGCAAGTGCTATTTCCAGCTGTTTTGTGTAGTAGAGAATTCTACATGCTCACTACTGTCTGGGTGAAAGCATTTTGCCTCATCTCGGTCCTAAATGGCTTACCCCATTGCAGTTAGACTGTGATCCCTGGTTCTGAACTCCACTGCCATCAGGAATATCCTCCTGCATCTAACCTGCCTAACCTTGTTAGGATTTTATAGGCTTCTGAGATTACGCAGGCACACACAGAAGTGCACACGCACATGTGCACACACGGACACGTTCCTGTACTACCCCACTCAACACTGCCTGCCATTTACAAAAAAGATCCGCTTATTCCTAATGTCTGTTTCCTGTGTGTCAAGCAGTTCTCTATCCATGTCAGTACACTAACTCCAATCCTATGCGCCTTAGTTTTACATGCTAATCTTGAATGTGAGATTTTGTCAATAGCCTTCTGAAAGTCCAGAAAAATCACGTCAACTGGCTGCATCTCAACAATTCTGTTACATTCTCAAAGAATTTCAGTAGATTTGTCAAGCATGCTATCCCTTTCATAAATCTATGCCAACTCCATGTCCAATGTCCATGTTCATTCCTGCCACTGTTTTGCTCAGCTGTTAAATCTTTTAGAATGGACTCTCACATTTTCCCCATGATTAACATCAGGTTGACTGGTCTACAGTCATGGTTTCTCCCTTTCTTTTTGAAGAGTGGGCTTACATTAGCTACACTAATCCATAGGTGAAGGTAGATAAATCACCGACCAGATAGATTCTATGCCCCAAGTTCTGAGGAAATAGCCGAGGAGATTGTGGAGGTATTGGTGATCTTTTAGGAGTCACTGGATTGAGGGAGGGTCCCAGAGGAATGGAAAATAGCCAACTCTCAGTTCATACCATCGTAATTTCCTTTGTTTAGGTTCGGGACCCTAGTCTCACACCCAAGTATATCACTCCATCTTGATGAGGAATTCTCTCCCAAGGAACCTTGTACAAGTGGATTGCCAATTATTCTTTTCTCATTGCACAGTACCCAGTATAGGATGGTCTGCTTTCTAGTTGGCTCTTCGATGTATTGGTCCCAAAAAACATCCTATATATAGTCCACAAATTCCTGTTCTGGAGTCATAGAGTCAGAGATTCACACAGCATGGGAACAGACCCTTCAGTTCAACTCGTTCACGTCAACTGGATTACCAAAGCTAAACTAGTCCCTCTATGGTATTGCTGATTTGGTTTGCCCAATCTAAGTCACCCACAATTGCAGATGTTCTTTAATTGCATGCATTTCTAATTTCTTGTTTAATGCCATTTCCAGCATCCTTCCCCCCTCCCCCCCACTACAGCTTGAGGTCTTATACAACCCCCATTAATGTTTTTTGCCCCTTGGTGTTTCTCATCTCTACCCACATCCTAGAATGAAGGCAGATACAAAATTCCTGTTTAATTCATGTGCCATCTCATTTTATGTTTCATTATTAATTCTCCAACTGTCTCTCTATAGGGCCATTACTCACTTGGTTAACTCTTTCTTTTTAAAAAATATTTTAATTCTTGCAATCTGCTTTTTATGGTTCTACTTAACTTTCTCCTGTTTTTTCCTCCTTATTTATGTTCTTTTACTGTATTTATCTTGTGTTCAAACTTATGACCTGTCATCTTGTACAATTAAATGCTATCTCTTTAAGTTTGGTACTGTCTTTAATTTTTTCTTGTTAATCATCAGTTCTGGGTCTGTCCCATCTCTATTGACCTATCCTTCAATGTAGTTTATCAATTCACTGTTTTCATGCCTTTTTTTTTGACAGTTTAAAGCAAGCCTTGGACCCATTTCCTGCCCCTCAAACACAGTGTAAACTTCAATCATACTAATGATGCTTCTACCTAGGGAAGCCTTCACTATGAATTCACTCATTAACCCTATCTCATTTCACATTACCAGATCTAGTATAGTTTGCTTTCTGGTTGGTTGCAGAATGTGCTGTTTTAAGAAATTACTTCAAACGTATTTGTCACATGCGCTACCTTTTCTCACCTGGCTTTTCCAGTCTATTTAAAGTTTTTAGCAAAGATTTGTAGCTTGGGTTGTGAGTGAGGTTGTTGACTTGCTCGCCGAGCTGGCTTATTTTCGTTCAGAAGTTTCATCACCATGCTAGGTAACATCATCAGTGAGGCCTCCAATCTTCATCAGAAAACAAGCCAGCTCAGCGACCAAGTCAACAACCTTTTCCAGTCTTTATATCGATTTTAAAAACTCCATTAACGCTGTGTCTTTCTGAGAAGCTCCTGTTATTTTTCTCTTTTCTTGCTCTACCCTTCATTACTGTTTGTGGGTCTATCTAATCAACCTGATCAGAGATGCTCATAGATATTCTGGAGCAAATGGGACTTGAACTTGGGTCGCCTGGTTCAGGGGTAGGGACACTACTACTGCACCACAAAGAGGGGTATCTATGCAGCGCTCCCACAACTGACGACTTGTCTTTGTCATTTGTCTTTTCTATCCAAACTCTTTCTATGTCTTAGACTTGAGTCATCCTCTCTATAGTGCAAATAACTTCATTA